GGATGGGGAGCAGGTGGCGGGGGTGGGGGATGGTTTAGATGGGGATGCGGTGGAGCAACCAACCCAAATGGAGAAAGAGGCAGCAGAAGGAGCCAGAATCATAATTGGAGAAATCGCAAGAACGAGGCATATAAGATGGGAGAGTACGCACAATGCATGGGCAAAGGACGTTGTATGGGCATGAAACTCGACTGCCCTCTTCACTGTGGTGGACCCTGCTTTTACGACTGCGAATACATGTGCCGTGCACATTGCCGACGACCTTGAGCCGTCCACCACCACCGTCTCTCTCTCTCTCTCTGATCATCTTCCACCCTTATTGGCTTATTAGTTCGGAGGTCTGATCAATTACACTTGCTGGTGTGAGTGCATGTTCCCGCGTCTGTTGGGTGTTTGCTGTGTCTGTTTGTTTGTTTGTTCACTTCACAATTCTCATTAGATAAGACTATGCTGATTCTATTGGGTATTTGGGGTTGGATGATTTTTCTTATTGCTTTTGTTTTGGGGACAGACTTTGAGTGATATTGTGAAGCACAAGTTAGTGTAGCTTTGCGTGCCTTCTTATCCAAACTACCCATGCATCTTGATGGCATGGAGAATGGATCGTCTTTGAGTAACTGTGCAATCTTCTCTTGTACTGAAAAGCGAAAACACTTCGATTTGCGTTTCAATTCATCAATATGCTTGCTCCATCTACATGCGCCCAATAGATTTGATGCCAGAAGCCAGAAGCTAGCTGCTTCTCACTAATAAATATTCCGCTTCACATTTTACGTTCTTCTTATTACCACTCTTTCCCACTCGTTTCAGTCATTATTCATTCGCAACTGCGATTTTTCTCTTTACCACTCCATGGTGCATCATGCGTAACAGATGAATCATAATCCAACGCCCAGATCAGAGAACAATTAATAGAAGAAATTACCCATTTCATACACCATGGGGAAAACGAAACGAAACAACTGATCATCAGCATGTGAGTTACGTTCAACAGCACATTTATCATCTTCTCTTCCTTTCTTTTCTCTTTAACAACAAAAAACAGCAAAAAGCCAACAAGGTCAACCCTTCAAGTTCTTGTTTCCAGTTATTTTCAAAGCAAATTACTTCGATCTTTTCTTCCTTACCATGCATTTCTAAGTATGTAGTTCGGCCATTATACAATTCTAACTGCCTCAACCTTGATTGTGTTATCTAAACCTCTACTCGATCACAAGAATAGTCGGACTAGGGTAAAATTTGCCGATAAAAACCAGTTGTTCACACTCAAACATAATTAACAGCAACTCAATTAATGTTGATAAGTTAAGTCATAGACTGCATTAATCTGGGTTGTGCAGACGACTCTTTATATATCACAGAGATTTAATTTAGTCGTAATTGACAGGTTTCCAAAAAAGTTCCTTGGTATGCTCGAGGAGGTAGGGCTGCAAGTCGGGCCAGTTTGTCGGGTTGAGGCCAACCCTATGTTCTAAACCCCCAACCCTAACCCTAACTCAACCTGACCTACCCAACCCGATGTCAACTTCGGATTGGGTTGGACCCAACCCAATTTTCTCATCCCTTAAAATCTAGTATAAAAATAAGTATTTGTTTATCATGAGTTATGACTTATGATAGATTTTTTCTCAAAAATATAAATTCATGAAATCAACAATAATGAAACACAAAATTATGGAAATAAAATCATTAATAACAACCCATTGGATCAAGCAAATCATTTGAATCTATATAGGTCACACATAAAAATTACAAGGCAAAAGGAAAAGACAAGTAGTCAAGTACATGTGAATAACTTAAAGAAAGGGGGCTATACAACTATCATGCATCTAAACAAATCAAGTTGGGATGGGCAGCGGCAGGCAGCAGCGGACGACGGCATTGGTGAACAAATGGCAAGAAGAAGATGATGAACAATGTTTTTGCCTTTTATTGATATTATTTTAAAAAAGTTAACCTATTTTTGAAATTTTTTTTTAAAAAACATTACTTTTATTGATATTAAACCCCAAAAGTTGCCCTTATAAGCTATTACCCCTATATATAATTATATATATGACATGTAGTAGAGTTGGAAACTAGTAGTCTAGTACTACAAGGTGTCGGGTTTGGGTTGGGTCAGGTTGCCCGAGGGGTCAACCCTAACCCAACCCAAACAAAGGTCGGGTTCAAGAATTTTAACCCTAACCTTAATCCAATCATCAACCCGACCCAATCCAACCCGACTTTTTCGAATTGGGTTTGGCCAACCCGACCCAAGTTGCAGCCCTACGAGGAGGTGGTTTTTTGAAGATGAATGCTGATGTGGGGTTTAGGTCCCCAGGTGTTGCATCTTTTGGTTTAGTGGCTCGCGACTCCTTTTGTTGTAGCTGCAAAATTAGGCCACCTTGTTGCTGGTTCAGTTCTGAATGCAGACAAATTAGCATCGTTTTTGAATGTGAGTGGAAGCGTTGTTGAATCTAACTGCAAAGAGTAAATTAAATCTGCTAAAGGGTGGTTAGGGCCAATATTTCATGTGGGGTGTATCATATTCATATCTATGGCCATTCTATGAATCATTAAGGCTGTCAACAGGTTCGGTCTGGGTTGGGACCGGCTAGAACTCGAACCAACCCGACATAAAATATTGAGGGTTCGGAATCGACCCAATAGAGTCTGTAATTTCTAGACTCAGAAATGAACCGATCGTTTCTTGAGACAATTAGGTCTGACTCGATAGACCCGATTATAATAAACAAATAATAAAATAAATATATATGCTTAATATATATTATACATTATATAATTTGTTTAGTATATTATATATATAATGTATATAGCACAGGTCAGGTCTGAACCAATTCGGGACTGCATGGAACCGGTTTCGGACTGATAATAATCGGGACACTATATTAGGACCCAAAACTGACCTGTTGGTTCCAGTTCCTCAAACTAGAACCAGCCCAATAAATGCTTTAGATCCATCAGTCCATCGGGTAGGACCCGACCCATTGACAGCCCTATGAATCATGCATATCAACACAATACACCTCCCTATTGGGTAGTAGTATTGCACTTTATCAATGGATATAGTCTGATACGCACCAATATGAAAGCATATCATATCAATGCCTAGTTTCATGAAATTGTATATTGATTGATTTTGGATTGTTTTTGAACTTTAATAAAAATTAAAAATTATAATTATAAAACTAAAAATAGAATTGTAATTATAAAAATTGGAATAAATAATTTAAAATTTAATAAAAAACTGAAAATTATAAAAATAATTTATTTTATTACCTTAAATGATTTATATGTTCTATTTTACATATAAATTATATGATAAAAATGAATATGTATTTATTATTTGAAAAAATGGAATTATTGTTTATATAAAATACTAAATAAATAAAATTTTCCAACAAATTAATAAAATTTGAAATTTATAAATATAAAAACTGAACTAAATAATTTAAGATTTAATTTTCCCAAAACTTTAATAAAACTGAAAATTATAACAAGAGTTTATCTTATCTACCTTAAATTATAACAACAATTTATTCGTATAATCTACTAAAATGTGCATTTCTGCATAATCACATGATTTATGTGATTTTTATGCATTTCCCTAGTGTATCTAAATGTTTCCATACTTTTCATTCATATCTATATATTTTTAAAACATATCCATATCTGAGTTGTCCCATACAATACTCTATATCAATATTTTAATCTTTGGTTAGGGTCTAAGGATGCCTAAAGGACATCTATTTCTTGGTGTTGGATATTTTAGAACTAGCTAGACCATTAAATATTTCTTGGCAAACAAAGCTGTTCATGATTCTACTCCTTTAGGCTTTACAACTTGTCAGGATTGGTTTGGACTCTGCCCATCACCGATACTTCAAACTGAATGAAAACGCTCTTCCTAATTATATTATCAATTGAAAAATGAACAATAAATGATTCTTCTTAGTCAACTCGTTGATTCTTTTAACACTTTTCTTTTCTCTGTTATAACAGCAAGATTCTTGATTCATGCAACAGAGTATGTTAGATATTCCTTTTGGTTCCAGTTTTAGGTGGTGTTCTCCGACATAAATTGTTTTTGTTGTTGTGATGAGTTCCCGAATGAAAACAAAATTGGCTGGTGTTTGAAAACAATCGATTCTTAGAAAAATACAAAAAAAAAAAACGAAAACATATTCTGTACTAATTTGTTAGTTTTTGGAAAAATTATAAAGACCCCTTGTACTATGGGTTAGTTACAATTACCCCTTTGAACTTTCATATTGCCACAAATAATTTCCTCCATTAGAGTTATGTTGGTCAACTTCCAAAAGGATTTTCATTCAATTGTTTAAAATTTTTAAATCCTAAATTATCCTTTTTTCTTATTTATGTATTGAAAAAACGAGTGGATAATTTTTATATTTTCAAATAAATTCATGTCACTAAAATGAAACAAAAAATTTAAAGAAACTTGTTTTTATGTCAACAAAATGACTTGTTATTTTTAGTTGTTTTGTTTGGAAAAAATAGGGGTATTTTTGGGTCAATTAGGGTTTAAGAGAAGAAGGACGAGAAAAAGAAAATAAGGAATGTTCAAGTGGGTATTTTGATAATTTAACACATTATGCCATCTGATTTAATGGCTTGGGTATTTGTAGAGGGTGAGTCTTCGCCGCAATTGAAAGTTCAGGGTGTAACTGTCACTGACCTCATAGTACAGTGTGGTTAAACCCTTATACTGCGTTTGGTTTGAAGAAATAGGGAAAAGACTTTTTTCCTTCAAACAAAATATAACTTTAAAGAGCATGCATTCTTTCTACGGGTTATTTATCTCAAATTCCATAAATCATATAATTTCAATACCACAAAATTTTCTTTTATTTAAAAAAAACTATTATTTTCATGGTATTTTTAAAGTAAAACTAATTGATTTTGGCTTTTTTGCTTTTCAAAACAGAAATACAGTTCAAAAACGTGTGTTTGTTTTAGCTAATGTGACAATTTAAAAAGCAAATGAAAATAAAAATATTGATGTTGGAGAACGCCCCTTTAGTCTTCATTTTGTGGACTAATCATAACTTGACATGTGGCTGACTTCTTATCGGTCTGTACAACACATCCTTTGGTCAGTCGAGGATCACAAGTCAACTCCCAACTGATCGGGTTATTTGGTCAATGTTTTTACAATCTACAGTTATAACCATCAGCCTTTTTTCTGTTTGTATACTCTTTCTCTATATTAAGCAAACCGCATCTCCTGAAATTCTCATATTTCATATTGTTGTTACCAAATATAGAATTTTCCAATGTTCAAGGTCTTATCTTAGGGTGAAGATTCTAATGATCAAATTAGCCGAGAGCTATGAAGGGTCGGACCAAACAAGAAATAAGACTTAGAGCTTAAATTCCAGTGAATCCTTACTTCAATGTAAAAGCCCCTTTTTAGAATCAGAGTTGCCTAAGAGGAGAAGGAATTGGGAACAGGTGGTGACGGTTGGCACTAGTTGATGACAAGTGGTCAGGAAGCATCCGACCGGCGCCACATGCCATGATGCATGGGACAGCCACAATGCATCCAACCGATGTCTCATGCCAAGGTCTGTAGGTCAGTCAAACACCCCTACATCACAT